GGGGCGCGGGGCGCGGGGCTGGGGAGGGTGGACTTAAACCGGAGGGGTACAAGGGGGCGAGTTCCGGTGGGCGCCCGGGACCCGCCCTGAGCCCTAGGGGTCGGGAGCTGAGGGCTGGGGTTGAAAAGCCCTCTTTCCTTCCTCGCCCGGGTCAGGGAATGTGGGGAGAGAGGACGCCGGGGGGGGGGGGGGGGGGCTGGGAGGAACCTGGAAGTGGGTGTAGACCTGACTCCCCGCGGAGGGGACACACTGACCCTGAGGGCAGCTCCTCGTGTGGCCCCGGGAGAGCCCTGCAGCCTCCGGGAGGCGATGGCATGGCAGGGCCCTGAGAGTCCTGGGCAGCCAGGGCCGGGCTGTCAGGGTCAGGGGCACCGTGAGGGGCCGCAATGGCCCAGGAGACCCCACTGCGCACGGCTCTTCTGGGAGAGTTGGTTTAAAGCAGACCCAGGGCTGGGGTGCCCCGGCCACCCTGAGCCGCTCGGCGGGCCCACTCAGCCAGGAAGGGCACCTGCCTCACCAGGCTCAGCCCCAAGGGCACCCAGCCTCCCCCACCTGTGCCCTGGTGATTCCCCCTGGTGCCCACCTGGAGGCAGGCGGGGTCCTCTCTAGTTGCTGGAGGTAGAGTTGGGATGGTTGTCTGGCCCCTGCCCAGGTGGGACCCAAGGCCGATGCCTTCTGGAGCCTGGGACTGGAGCCCAAAGTCATCTCTCCTTTATCTGAGCAGGAGGCCTGTGGTGGGTGCAGGAGGGGGTGGGGAACTCACAGGCCAGGCAGATGGGGGTGTCGGGCTCCAGAGACCTTGAGTGGCCATCTGGGGAATGAGGCCGAGGCTCTGGGTGGGGGGTTGCTGTGGTTGGCCAGGCTGAGCAGGTCAGGCAGGGTTGCTCCTGGCAGAGTGGAGTAGGTCGTTCATGCTGGCCTCCTGGTCTCCTGGGGCATCCAGGAGCAGAGCTCACGGTGAGGGGGGTGAGGCGGGGCCGATGAACCTCCTCCCTGAGGGCTCACACCCCTTCCCTCCCAGCAGGCAGCTACTCTGCCCGCCTGGCCTGGTTAATCCTACCCACAGCGGTTTAGGGAACTGGGTGGGGGCCACTGGGTGACCCCAGACGGGTTGTATTCCAGCTGGCTGCAAGGCCACCGATCCCCTCTCCTTCCTCCCCCCACCATGCCCTGGTACTGGCCCCTGGTGCAAAGAACAGGGGAGGTAACTGTGAGAGGCGGCCACGGAGGCCTGATAACAACCAGAACTTCAGGGGCCCTGCCTCAGTGCTGAGGCCAGGAGGCTGGGCGCGTCCCAGCTGTGTTAACCCGGAAAGTTACGGACCCTCAGCATCCCCTGCTATGGGCCCAGGAGTCCCCGGGATGACAACTGCCGCCATCACTCAGGGGTTTGGTTGGACCACCCGAGGCACCGGCGCCCTGTTTACTGAGTCACTGAGCCCCTCCCATGTGCCGGGGTGGCTGGTCACCCCGGCTCAAAGCTGCGCTATGGACCCAGCCCTCAGCGTCCAGGTCACAGAGAGACCCATGGTACTAGGAACCATGCGGGGTGTGGGCCCCCCAGAAGGGACCCTGAGAGCCTCCCCCTGCTTCTCAGCACGTCCAGATAGTGGCCCAGAGAGCAGGGACTTGCTCAAGCAGGGAGGCTAGAGGAAGCCAGTGTTGGTGTGGAAGGGCGAGATGGCTTCGCTAAGGGAACTGAGGGCAGGGGGAGGGGAGGGGAGGGGGAGGTGGAGGGGGAAA